ATATGTATTGGTGGCAATTGTGAAAAATATATCAAGGGTTTTAGTTCTTTATCAGAAATAATTTTCATTTTCCAGTCAATGCGTATCTTATTTCTTCCACCATTAATTCTACAATGTGGTCTCAATTATATCAGTAGAAGTGGGAAACAACCCATCCTGACCCAAATATTTCTGAATTAATAAATGCTCTTTATCAATCTGTTATACAGATTAATGCACCACAACTTGCAGGATGATTAAAATGACCCTTTGTTATGGGAATCAGCAGGACCCGTAGAATTTAATTGCCAAAAAGTTCAATGTCATCTGGCACCTATCCTTTAATCTGTTAATGCTGCTGAATGTGACTATAGTCTTTGGATGTTAAAAGTGGGTGGTAACATTAAATCAGTTTTCCATTACTGTATGTATCTTGCTGTCAAGAGTTTTACTGTTTAACCGTATTTGATGTCACCTAGGACTATGATAATGAGCTGACAGCATTTACAATCCAAGTTCTTTTGAAGGGAAAAAGTTAATAGATCAAAGCAAGTCATCGCTGCAATTGAATCAAATGAGATGATCACATAAATGAACTGGTCAAGAGGAAACATAGGCTTCAATCAGGCAGTCAGCAGTAACGAAAACCATGCCTTCCTTTGAACAGTTGTTTTTAATCTTCTGATTAAGCATTCTCCTGTTGCTGTACATACTCTTCGCTTTTTCAGATCAGAAAACAGACTAAAGACTGGAAGACCTCTATCTATATTTTGACAGCTTTCTACAGCAGTGTTAGTTTGGTGAAGATCTTTATTTTCCTTACATTTTGGTGCAAACATTGAAATTGATATCCATTTTGTCAATGGGAGGAGGGAAAAAAAGTCTTGTGATTGCTCACAGATGATCATTACTTCCCTGTGATTGTATTATGGGGAAGCATATGGTGAGGCATCTCTGTAACATAAAACTCTTGACTCCACCAAAAGAAAATGGGAAAATAGACAGGATCCTGTCGAAAGATCACTAAATCAGGAGTAAAGAAACTGACTTTGATCTCTGGTCTTTGAATTGCAGAGACATTACATGTACAAACTACCATAGCATCTGAATGAGATCTAAAATCCTAGCCAGATACAACAATAACAACACCACCCCTAGTCTTTTGTACAGGGCTTTCATATGGGGCTCTCAAAAGAGCTTTACAATGATAAATATTAGTATTACTCCAAATTTACAGATTGAAAGAAGAAAGACAAGTTCGCATGAGCTATACTGTCATCCAGTAAAACAGAAGACAGGACTGAATGCTGACAGTATACTTCCGGGAATTATTATTATATCAATAACATAATAAATTGATTTCTAGTATTACTGGGCTTATTCCTAAAATGAAAGTACTTCCAGTCTTTGGGTTAATGTCACTTATAGTGTTGAATGATGACACAATGTTGCTCTTTCCTACTTCATTCATTTATTGCTGAGCACAAACTGTCAGTAGAATGGAGACTACTGTAAAACTTTTCTAACCAGAAGCATTACAGCATATGAGAATCAGGTAAAAACACCACAAGAAGGTCAAATGTTAAATTGCAGTGCAAATTGCAATTTAGCATTTGTTACAGGCTTAGTAAACAACCCACTAATGAACCAGACCTTTATTAGAGTTCATATCATTGGTGATTAAGCTTTTGCTGACAACTCATTTCACCTCCTGCACTTTTGCATTACGTTTTACAATAGGAAAAGAATAAAATATTAATGCCAACAAAGATCAGACACTTTATGTGCTTTATTGCAACTTAATGTCTTTATTGTCTTCTAATTTAACTAATTTGAGCTTTCATTTCAGTCCCCACAGGCTAATTCAAATATAAATATAAAACATCCTGACAACCAAAACTTCTAAAACTGGTGAGTTAATCACATACCACTAATAAGATTGTTTCTTTAATAAAGGAGAAGTTGACAACAAAAACATACAGTACCTCATCTAGTTCCATTTCATCTGGACTCTCCCATGGTTTGATAAACTTTCCACGAGACCTCTTCAAAGGCACAATAACTATGTAATAACCTCTGTAAAGGAAACAGTTGGACAAAAGTGAAGTTGAAGGAAAAGGAATAGATAAATTGATGGAATAGGTGTCTGTTCAGAGGAACTTAAGAGAACAGCAGTAGGTTGAGAGCGAACTTTCACACATTATTATGCCACTGCAGCCTTCCAAACATAGTTGTAAAGATTCACACTCTTGAAACAACATCCAGTGTAAAACATTTGACAAAGAAATGGCACTAATTACCTGACTTTTCATGTAAACATATAAATATGTATAAGAAACTTTAATTACAATGTTCTAAAACGCCTACATGTTTGACTGCAGTTTATTACTTCATTTGAAATACAAGAGCCATGGGATATTTGTGCCCTGCCACTATCACACTGGGAAAAAAAACCCCAAACCCCTAAATTGAAACCTATTACCATATATTTAAATCTCAATTATCACCCCATCTTCCCCCATTTTCACGTATCATCAGAATAGCAGGTTAACATAATGTGTTTGTTGACACCAATACTATTATAAACAGAAAATAAGGAAGACTTAGCATACACTCCACCCACACACTCTTTGAGTATCAATCACCATCAGGTTTATCTACTTAAGTATTCTGTTCACAGTCATAGATAAGAGAGCTTGATGTATGCTCTCTTTACAGCTAGTATTTGCAAATTACATATACCAGTCTTCCTCAGAAACATTTTCCTGAAAATATCTTCCTCCTCTCCTCCCATGGAGACTAGTAAATTATACTTTCTAGTATAATAGAGATATGGCACTTTCCTTGTTTCCTTCACAAAGCCTGGATAGATGTCAGGCAGATCCGTAATTTCAGATTAGTGTGAGGAAAGTAGCAGTAGAATCACAACAGCAGGACATCCAGGATGGTATAATATACATCTTCTTGACAAACAGACTTGTCAAAAAGTCAAGCACTCTCCATCTCAGAGGAGAGGGAAAGAAGCTGCTCTCCTTTGTTTCTAGTAACAACAGGGCTTATTCAGAAGGTGTCTCTGCCTCTCAATTATGGAAGATAATTCTAGTGTCTCATGGACCATCTTCTTCTCTTCCAGTCTGCCATTTTTTACAGCCTATTCAACCTTCTGCAGCACTGACTATTCATTTTACTCACGCAATGCAGTTGAAAATCCTAAAGTAATTAATGAAATAGAGTCTACAGAAAAGGACTTCCCTTACAATTGATCAAAAACTATCTCAGTCTAAACTGACTCTATAAACTGTCTTTATTCCATACCAGTGCACACCACTGGTCCATTTGAATTGTTTCTTCTTAATTAAAGCTCCCTGCCATAAAAGAAATGTAACAAAACTTTGGATTTTTAACTACTGTAGTAAATGCACATATTTATTAATTCTTGTGTTAAGAAATCTGAGAAATTTCTCTGTGGAAATGCTGAGCTCCAACAGGAGGTGTTGGAAACAAAAAGCGTTGGCCACAGATTTTTAACTGCTGCTTACTTGCTGTATTCCAGTATTTAAATAAAATCTGCAGCATGCATCCTTATAGTAACAATATGATAAATCACCTTTTACATTGATGTTCTTATTCAGAACTAGTCAGGCTGGTTGAGTGCATATTTTAAACCTGAGTATGTATTTTTAAAATTCTTTGGTTACATGAATAACAAATCCTAGTGAATGCTGATTTAGCCATGTATACAATAACTACAACCTACATAGCTTTACTTTAAGAGATGCCTAAGAATCAAGACAAAAAGCAATAGAGAATTGGCCCCTGTATGTCTTTCAGACATCAAAGATACATCTGCTGGATGAACTGCACCTGCACAGCAGTCTCTTACTTATCCTATTTTTTTCTTCTTCTTCTTTTTCTTTTTTAAGCTAATAGGGTGTTCATCCTTTTTTTTTCAATCAAGGAAATCCCACTCTTTCACACTTTCTTCATGCATGCCTCCCACTCATAACTTTGATCATCCACTAAGACTTTCAGCACATACAGAGTATTTTAAAGCTGAAAGCACAAGCACCTCAACAGCAAGCAGAAAATGAAACTGTTCACATAAATATACAGTGCTGCAAATTGTAAAGGACAACAAAGTTCTGTTACTTCTAGCTAACTCCAGAAAATGCAGCATTTCTTGAAAAACATGTTTTATTATTTGCTTGTTTGTTTTGAGTTTTTTTTTTGGGGGGAAGGGTGAGAAATGAAAGGTTTGCTTGGATATTGCTCGAACAACTGAGTATTACAAAGGCCAAAGTCTTCCATAAAACTGTGTTTTTACCTAAGACTTTGCAAAGATGGAAGAGATTCAGAGAAACATGAACTGTCCTTTACACATAAAAATTGCTTTGGCTTAGCCCAAAATACAAATGAAAATGGAAGAAATTGCTCACTTGAGATGATGCCAGCAAGAGAGATCCATTTTACCTAGCATAAGGTGAGCTCTGCTCCAATTTCTATGCTGTATTACCATCAAACATTGAAATAATGACAATTACTTCTACCATCTTTAATAAATCACGAAGTCTTTTATAACATTACCCTCAATCCCATTAGTGTTTACTTATAATTCATTAGGGCAAACCATTAACTGTTTCACCTTCTGTGTAATTAGTATTATTGAAAGATTCTCAGTGTATAGTGCTTCATGGTAAGATAGAGACAATCATGAGCATATAATGTATCCATAGAGGAACAGCAACTGTAAAAATGTCAACATAGCTATTACACAAAATTGTTCTTCCCATACAAAGACCATAGCTGCAATAATCTTACTCATTCTAGCAAGCATCAGGTAAGCTTTTTCAGTTCAGTATGTAGTTGCTTTGGTACGCCCGCTTCCAAGGGTCAAGTAAATTTTTTTTTGTTGTTTTGTTTTTCTATCTCAAGCCCGATCACATCTTCTTAGAAAATAGATATAGAAGGAGGAGATACAATATTTGCAAAATTGGCAGTTGTACCCTATAGGTTTAACATACCTTTCCTGATGTCACTTAGCCTCTTTCATTTTTTTACACCACATAAAAGGAAGGGCATCGGCTCTTTTTCTGCTGCTGTCTTTGATATTGTTTGACCAACTACCTGCACTTTTTTCTCTCTGTGAATGATCTGCCTCATAAATCTTTTTTGGCTCATTCCATCTTCAGTCTTCCTTAGCTGCATTTGTTACTTACTCAATCTAATGATAATGGCTACGTTTTTCAGTTTTTCATCCTTTTAATGTCTAGAAGTAATTTCTTTCTTGACCTCACCTGCCTCAAAATCCTCAGTCAGCAATGAAAAAGGGGAGCAGCTTTCTACAAAGCCGTCAGTAAAAATCCACCAGGGAGAGGACAAGGAGAATCCCCAACAATATTTAATGACTTGCTCATTTTCCTCCCCATTTCCTTTACATTACACATGGGAACCTTACAGACCAACAAGAATCACTATAAGCAGAGCAATAACACTTATTGATTGTACCGTGCTTCATGTTTTCTTGGCAAGTCTTTATTGTCTAACCTTTCTAATCCCTGCTGACCGTGTGCAATCAGCTCTTTAGTCCTATTTCTGCTGTTTAAATCTCCACAACACCTTTTCCCCCAAAATCTAAGTAATCTCTGGTAAACTCTGCCAAATTTTTCACCAAAACCTCCTGTTTTCTTTCTGGGACCAGTGGGGAGGACCTGCGATTTTTCTTTTAATAAAAAACTTCAGAATTAATTAATCTGAATTAATATAAGTCCAGTAACAATTCTTTAAAACTTCACGTAAATCTGGAATGACTGAGTCTGAGTACTTCAAGGTGCTGCAGCAGGGTAGCTACCCATCTATGGGTCATCCATTCTTCTTGAGAGGATACATTGTTCAAAACACAACTGGCTTCCTTAATCCCTCTTTGCTATTTGAAATCAGTGATGAAACACAAAAGTACTCTGAGAAACAGCTACAAACTGAAGGACAATTCTTCTCCATATATTTCCATCTAGATTTTACTCAGTCTTACATACTTGGCTAAGCAACAAACTTATAAAATAGTTCCAGTTGGAAGAGACCTACAATGATCACCTATTCCCACTGCCTGACCACTTCAGGGCTGACCAAAAGTTTAAGTACATTATTAAGGGCATTGTCCAAATGCCTCTGAAACACTGACAGGCTTGGGGCATAGACCACCTCTCGAGGAAGCCTGTTCCAGGGTTTGACCACCCTCTCAGTTACGAAATGCTTCCTAATGTCAAGTTTAAACCACCCCTGGTGCAGCTTTGAACCATTCCCATGTGTCCTATCACTGGATCCCAGGGAGAAGAGATCAGCACCTCCCTCTCCACTTCCCCTCCTCAGGAAGCTGTGGAGAGCAATGAGGTTGCCCCTCAGCCTCCTTTTCTCTGAACTAGTGAAACCTGAAGTCCTTAGCTGCTCCTCATAGGACATGCCTTCCAGCCCTTTCACCAGCTTTGTCGCCTTCCTCCGGATGCATTCAAGTACCTTAACAACAGAATCTGGCATTTGTTCTTGTTAAATTTCATGCCATTAATCATAGCCCAATGCTCCAATCTATCTAGATCCCTCTGCAAGGCTTCTTGTCCCTCGAGAGAGTCAACAACACCTCCCAGTTTAGTATCAGCAAATATTAGTCCAATATTAGTCCAAATACTACTGCAGAGTGCTGTATTCTCTGTACCGTTTTGAAGAATAAAGCCTGGGTCCACAACTACAGCTCTAGATTCTATTAACAGTAAGAATAATCATGTTTCTGGAGACAAAAACAATGGTATGTCATTCATTCACTCACTTTATATTCTCATTTGAAGGTACTTCTGGAAGTTCCACAGTTATCATGCCGTCTAAGTTGGTCTTTCCAATGAAGACTGGCTTGGTACGAAGCACGTCTGGTGCAGTCTTTGCTGTCACTCTGTGCTGAAGACCGCCAGCACTATTCCCTCTGTTTGTCAGCACAAATGAATATGATGTCTCTGGCTTCAAGTTAGTGATCAGCTTTTGAGTGGCACGTCCATCAACCTCCACCACCATTTTTCCATCATCATAAAGGATCTAAGTTAATATATAAATTGAAGGTTTTGATTACTAAGAGAAGGCAACTGATACTGTCACACTGAATTCAGGAATAAACCTAGCTATAAATTTAAAATGAAAGTTACTGGGCATTTTAGGCTGTAAGATAGTACTGAATTCTCTACTGCAATTAAACTTCTCACTTTCAGGGGAAAAAAAGAACTACATTAATTTGAAGCAGTGTAAGCACTCCTAAAATCCAATTTCACTTATTCAAATTCAATAGGTTTGCTTGAATCCAGCATTTATATCAAGGCACACTTGTTGTTAAGGGTACCTGGACTTTTTCATTCACACTTCTTATTCAGAAAGGTTTTTGCAACATTTAGTTCATAAAATACTGCTCTTCACTCGCCACTGCCTGAGATGACACAAGTGATGAAGAATGATGCAGAAGAAATGCCAGCCAGGCTGCAGGTTACATCGGGTCTACTTTATCTGGCTAATGCTATAGTTAGTGGAGTAAGTTATAACATTGTAAATGTGAGGAGACAAAAACCAAAATGGTACTCAGCTACAGTCACCACAGAAATTACTAAAAAAAAGAAGAAAATTATTCTTTTCTTTCACTGTTTTCTCTAAAATATAGTAGCAACGAACTACAAATTAGCGAGGTGTTCATACCATGCATAATAACCAGTACAAGCCTGACTTGGAAATACTGCCACAACAGTGGAAAGCTCATATTGCCAAACGACTGAATTTAGCAGCTTGGGTCAATATTGCTGATTAGTTTGCATTCTTAAATACAGCAATACCAAAAAAATCCACATATTCAGTAAGCTACTTAACCAGGTGAATGACATTCTCTGGTTTCTGTATTTTCTCTCGTACAAATGGAAAGTAACTTACTTTGAAAGGCAAGGCTGAATTGTAATTTTCTGGAATTTCCCAGGACAGCAAAACAGAAGTCTTCATTACTGCTTTAACATGAAAATTTTTTGCAAACACTGCTGGAAAAAAAGGAACAATGTATATAAACAACATCTTGGAGCTTAGATCTTGTCGTATTTCCACTGCTACCATTTAGGTCAAAAATCAACAAGGATTCAATTCCCCTACCTGTGTGCTCATATTTAAATATCACATTTTAACTCATTTCTCACTCTTATCTAGTGACAACCCAACACATACATTTTCCTTACCTGAAAAAATTGTGAAGATGTTAGCCAGAACTGCTTGGCAAGGGACAACTGAATTCTAAGGCATCCAAAACATATTAAGATTTACATACTTTACCTTTTGTGTTTGATGAACCTATTTTTATGAATGGGCCGGTCAGTTTTATTTACAGCTTCAAAAACACTGATATCCAAAGACCGATACTCCTTTAAAGGTCAACGCCATAAGCAGACAAATCCTACCTTGATCCACGGGTAGTGTCCTGAACTGGACACTTGGACTATATGGACCAGGCCCTTTGCTTGTGTGGGCACGTACTTTTACATCATATGTGGTATCTGGTTTTAAGCCAGAAAGTGTCATAGGGGTATCAGCAGGGACAACAGGGAGTTCAGATGGCTGGTAGGCGAGACATTGATATCTCTGTACAAGATGGTGTATTTGGTGATAATGCCATTTCTCTCTGCCAAGAGTGGCATCTGCCAAGTTAATTGAACTGATGTAGAAGTAGAGCTTTCCGAGTGAAGATTTTGGGGAAATCCACTGGGTACCTCTTCAGGAACAGTAATCTCTTTAACCATCTCCTCCCCAAAGCCCACTTTATTTCTAGCTGAGAGCCTGAAGACGTAAGAAGCTCCTTTGTGAATGTCTGTGGCTGTGAAGTGATCTTCCTTCTCTGAGAACTCCATGGTTGTAAATGTATCCATGTCTTTGCGACCAAACTTCAGGCGATAACCCTGCAGCGGGCCAAAAGTGTCCACAGGAGGGTGCCACTGAATTAGAGCCGTGTTCATCTGTGTGTGGCTAATCACAAGCCGAGGTTTGCCTGGAACTGTAGCACAATGTTATTTAAAGATGATAAACACAAACAGAATTGCATGTACAATTCTTGAGGCTAGTTTTAGCAGGAATAGGGATAAATTTTCTCTTCCCTCACTCTTAGTTCCACAAATTACTGTCTTATGGAAGAAATAATGTCTGCCTCCTGCACTACTGAGTCATACAGTACAATGAACTATGATAGTAAAGCCATTTACTGCTTGTTGTCTTCTTTCCTTACCATTATTTCTAAATACAGAGAACATTCAGAGGCATAGGACATAGGAACAGAAGTCAAGAAGTAAAACTTAAAACAGACATCTGATGAATGGTTCTGCCTCACTTACAAATCCTTGCTTACAAAAAAAAGAGTATTGTCATAAGTATTCTTTAATTTAATCCAAGGCACATTTCTGCCATTCCTGTAAATGGAAAAATAATTAATGATAATAATAATAGTAGTAATAATAATAATAATAATCATAATGGAGAAATTACAAGTTTCTAGATGTGTCAACATAACTTTTGCCATTGATAGTTAAAATGGGGTAGAAAGGAAGACAGACCAACCTTGTCATCAACAATCATTACTACGTATGACAGAACCCTATCATTCCACCTTCCATTCACAAATCACCTCCAGCATGGGCTGTTTCAGCTTGGAGGGGTAGCACAGTTTGGAATTTAATTTCTTGATTGCCCTGGCTTATGACATATGATTTAGTTTCCAGCATGGTCTTGGTGCACGTGAACTGGACTTCTGAAGAAGACTAAATTGGAAGCTCTTCTTAACCTGCACACCAGATACACTTAAATCCTTAATTGGGACCTATTGGTCCAAACTGATGATTTGTCTTTCAGAGAAGTTCAGACTGTAAGTGTGGTGAGAACATTCAGTCTAAAGGATCAAATTAGCCCTAATTGAGGGGGAATTCCCATTATACAACTTATATGGTGTACATCTTTGGAGTCCCAATATCAATTGCTCTTATTTACTGTTTCTATTTAATGTATATATTTATTTTTATTTATTCATTTATTCATATTCATTTATATACATATATATTTCATTTATATTTTCATTAATATTTCTATTTCAAAATAGTCTGTTTCTATTATAATGACTTATTTGATAATGAAGCATATCCGTAACTATTTAGAAATTTGGTGTTCATTGTGTACCAATGCCTGACAGGTCAAGAGACTAGAATAGTTTTGGGAGTAGTAGTGCCATGATAATATAGTCTTCCATGAAGACTAATTAGTTCCATCCGCATTCAAAGCCTTCCCACATGAATGCTGCATTGTGAGCTCTGGTTCCTGTATTTAAACACTTCAATGGATTTTATTACTTATCTTCAATTCTCAGGCCCCCAGCAAATCAGATTCTTATTGTCACAAGTTTTGACTTCCATTCCATAATGAATTAGGAATAAGGAGGGAGGAATGGCATGGCTTGAAGAAAATTCTGCATTTACTAAGCTCTTTCCTCATTATATCTGTCGTAAGTTGTGACATTGCTTCTAACTGCGTAAGAATTATAGCTAGTTTTTCCATAAATTTTCCAAATATCTTTGCTTTTAATTGTCTAGTTCACCTGCAAGTATTATTACCAGGAATTTTGTAAGTTTTTTCCTACACTTTCTGCTGTGTAAAGAATATCTCTCTGACTAGTTCTGACTTTTCCTCATTGATTATTATGAGCCTTTATGGAACATAGAAAAGGCTGTGAAGGCCTTTTGCAGGCCATATTTTTCTCTACATTATAACTATTACTGAAACCAATGGAGCATATGAAAGTGAAGAAGAGTCCACACAAATAAAAAAATAACTCCTTCAGCTTTCTAGAGGAGAGACTGCTGGAAGGTGTCACTAAATTATTTTTGTGATAAATTGCCTTTTTTTCTTGGGCCAGACCTCACAGTTAGAACTATTTTTTAACCTTTGTGGTAACTACAGAGAAAGAAAGAAATTACTACTTGCTGTTGATCAGAACAGGGGAACTAATAAAGCTTACTTATCCAATAAAATATCCTATGATTAAAATGGTAAATAACAGCAGTCACTTTTTTTTCCCCTTAATATGGAGCCTATCTGATTTTGTGAAGTGTATGAATGTCCTTTTTTTCAACATGCAACTATTGACAGAGAAAGAAAATGTTTTTCTGTCTCTCTTCTTTTTTCCAGATAGCTTTCAGTTAACATTTTCATTTAGTATGATCACTTGTGAATATTACAGTCTTGTGGGACAAACGGCAGGATTCTGTGCAGTCCTATATATACAGTAGTGTTATGGAATAGCTCTATCTAGGAACCTCATCTGACAATAAGACTTGAGTTTGCCATGAGACCAAACGAAGTGAAATTGCCCATGAAAAAATACATTCTCTGATCTAGTGAAGTCCACTTCCGTTACTACACAGCAAGATGTCCCTCACACACCCCCCTGCAACAGTCATTACACCAAACAGTTGTAATGGCATGCCATTACTAGTAGAAGCTCATGCCATTACTAGTAGAAGCTCATGCAAGTTGCCTTTGCCAAATTACCCGAAGTAACGTTTCTGTTAGCTGCTATACAGTACACCACTGTCTTAACGTAAATTCTCTCCTCTTAGCTGAAATCTGTATTTCAAGAGTGCTGTCCAGTACAGAGTAAATTCCAAATAATGGACAAGCTGTTGTGCTATGAGATTCTTCAGCTACTATGACCCAGAAATTAAAGGTCTGATTAAATTCTCCATAAAAATGGTATGATATCACTGACTGGTAAGTCTTAATTTTTATCTAGGCCTTGTAAATCACGTATTTTGTAACTTCTGCCCCAAGTAATTTAAAATTTTCAAATACTTTGACTTGAATATGTTCACTAACATTTTTTTCTTCCATCTGATTTCAAAAACTAGAAAAGGAAACTGAGTATAAGACAAAAACACACTCTGGAGTGAAAATATTAACTGCATTCAGTGACTTCATGAATCACTGCAGTTACTGTACTGTAGGCTCACTTACATTTGGTGAATCTTTCCCATCTAGAATGTAAATGATGCTATTATATAACTAACTGGACGCAGCTGAATAGTTACTTATCATTTGAATAACTTATGAATAGTAAGTCTCTCCAGTAAACATTTAGACCTTTATTCTCCTTTCATATCTCTTATGGATATAATCGCACTCATTCTAATACAGCTGCACCTGACTTAAACCTTTAAAAATTAGTCTAGAAAGTCAGACTCTTCATTTGCTTTATTGTAGTATTTTAATAACACTTTTTTAGGAAAAAAAATCAAATGGAAACTCTCAGAGAATAGGAGGGTGTAGTTCAGACCTACAAGCCTCTAGTATTATTGCATCATTCCTTCACCTGCCTGATGTATTGTCATAGAAAGACAGTGAGCTGGAAACTCTTGGTACTGACTATATTTATTGTCTCCTTTTTCAAAAGCCTGCATATGAATTTTCCTTACAAAAGGAGCTCAACCACAGCAAGCCGTAACAGCAAGTGAAAAGGTGTTCATACAACTTGGAATGTATGAAGGAGCAAAATGGTAACTAGCTGTTTTCCTAAAGACCAGGAACAAACATTACTTGTCCACAGGATGAAGCAAACAGCAAGAACAGTGTAGTATATGTTACATTTACAGGCATGCCTCTGATTCTCAATTGCTCTTCAGTCACTCAGGGTTTTATGGGACATGGGATTTGTTCATCTTTCTAAAGCAGAAGCATCAGAGATCTTGGAAGCATGAAACATGAATAGTCAATAAGGACTAAAGGCACAGAAGCTTTAAGTTTTGCAAGCAGGTTTGCATAGCCTATATTTATGTGTAGAAACTAACCAAATCATAATCTATGTAATTGTGTTTATTTAAATTGGGAACTGAACTTTAAAAACAATAATGGATTGAGTGTCTTTTTTCTTAAATCAAGTTCAAATGCAAGCAAGAAGTATATATAACTTTTTTCCCCTAGACCATGAGAATTCAGGAAAGGTAAGTTGGAGGGTAAGTTTCAGCAGCAGTCAAGAGTAATGACTAGAAGGTACTCTAAAATCTGAAATGAAACTATATGATATATCTAGCCACCAAGGCTGAGATTTTTCCAAGGAAGCTGATGAGACAAGGATATAGGCGTTTCTGATATTAGTACAAGCTGTGCTTTACATTCAGTGGTTGTTTTAAAAATTGAGTCAATCAGTATAAATACACATACACACCTTTTGGACTTTATCTGTCAGCATAAACAATACATTGTTATTAAGAGAGCTTGTAACGGTGCTACAAAGGTTTCCATGTGATTGTAATGCAATAATCCTTAATGGCTACACTACAAAACCCAGAAAATGAACACCTACAGGCTGTGAACACCTGTAAGTGAAGACCACACTAAGGCTGTGGTGGCACTATTTGGTTAAGCTGTGCCACAGTGAGCCATTTATATTTAAAAAACCTTGTTCCTCATCGAAAAGCAATTCAGTTCATCCCATCAGTGCTAACTCAATCAGCTGAATTGGTCATGCAGTCAGATACCCACCATCTAGTACCACCTGTGATCAAATGCAGACTGAACACAGTGGCATGGTGTGTTTTGCCCCAGTTTATGCCTCAAATTGCCACTGAAGCAATTTTCTTTTTTTCAGGGTTTCACAGGCTGGACTTTTGTTCAGTTTTCTAATTCTCTGCTTTAATAATCACATTCTTCCGAGATAAGCTGTGACTGTCATACAGATAGGTTCTTTCAATGTTCTTACTGACAGACACTGACAGACAGCAGCATTGCTGCTCTCACAAAGATCAAGAAAGCCCTTCATGAGTTTTTGAAACATCCTTCTCAGCTCTCAATTTCTTTTTTTTCCTCTCGAAGAAGACACCAATCAGAATGGAAAAGCTACTAGAAAGTATAAAGTTAAGTATTACATTTTGGCTGCATCTTGAACTGAGAAAGGACAAAGGGGGACACTGGTTCTGTTTTTATCTAAATAAATGAAGGGCAAAATACTGAAACAGAAAACCCTACGTCCTATAAACACTTTTTACACAACAGGAGACTTCCAAATAGCAGGAGCAAAACACTAGCAGGAAAAGTCAAAGGATTTATTCAGAGATTAACGGGTATGTGAGTATTACCTGCACCAGTAGTAGATATGAGTTTGGGCTTGCTGCGTGCTCCATCACCTTTTGTTGTATAGGCTGTCACAGTGAAGGAGTATGTAGTTTCAGGCTGAAGCCCAGAAATTATCATTTCCTAAGATGAAATAAAATAAGAACAATTTATTAAAAATAGATTATTCTCCAGGAGATCATGGAATCCTTCAGACAACCCCTGTATATTACATATAGTGCACACACTGTTGTGCTACTGGCAGTGATAGCAAGCATTTGAGAACACCAACAGACTGTTCTGTGTGAAATACTTCATAATGCAAGATGTTTTGCTCACTTTAGCAATAAAAGACAGCACACTTCTAAGTAGCATGCCTCAGGCAGTTTAAGGCACAAGACCAAAGGCTTAGTGGTGTGAACAGTGAAAAAAACCTTCTGAAATATCTTGCCTGAGGACTACTACTGATATTGTGAAATGCATGCATATGTAGATATGAGAAGCTCCATTTAACTTAGTCATTTACAGGACATCACTGATATAGTTATAAATGCCTAGTAAGAAGAGTGTTGCGTTTGTATCCACACTTTGTAAGTAATGATGGTTCAGCTGAACAAGAAAGCCTTGTTACTTTCATAACACTTTAACTGCAACCTGTGTCGCTGGTTGGATGTGCATCTAAATATCTCAGAGGACTTCAGAAACAACTCACCCTTCAGGTCTAAAAGAACTACCTAAAACACCATTAAAAATCTAGTCAGAGAATAAATCTGACAGCCCTCAAATGACAGCAGCTGCAAAACAAGTAGCTCTTCAGCTAGTACAAGTGAACGGGAGAAGATCAAACTGTAGGTGTCAAAACAAGGGGATCTGTACACATGTGCGCATGCACACACACATATACACACACGTATACACAGACAGAAGATGGTGAAGGGCCAGTCACCTGAAATGAACTAAACTTATGTCATGCTATAAGGACAGCCAGAGGAATTTAAGCCTGTAACCACTGGACTACTCCTTTGCATTCTCACATGCCTGAATGGATTTACACTAAATTTCACTGCTGTAAGACAGATGGTATATTTATGCATCTAGAATAAATAGCAAATGTGCAATCACACACCCCTCAGATCCAACAACCATAAAAGTTAATATAAAAATTATTGGTCAGATTATCCACAGTAGATGGATTTTTCAAGATAGCGGGTATGAGCTTAGTACAGGCGTGATTAGAATTCGGCATTGTATTTACAGTCAGTTGTTTGCAATATAGAAATAACAAGGTAATGATCAGAACAAGTAGGCAAAATAGCTCAAATAAAATAAAAACACATTTAAAAAACCTACAAAAACCCCCCCTTCCTTAGACTTTATCTCAGAATTGAATTGACCCTAAAGGCCAAAATCAGTAAGACAGACTTCTCATCTTTCATAAGGAAACTGCACCTGATATTAACAGAATAAAATTGTAAAAGGCAAAAAAAAAAAATTGCCATCCTTTTAAACAGTGATGAAGATATTAGTCTCATCTAAACCAAACAGTACTTCATGGTGTAAGAGATATGATTGCAGGTAGTGTTGTCATTTAAAAGTGTGTTGTCATTTGAAACTTAGGCATAAACACTACAGGGCATTTGGCTTTCCTGATAGCATACAAAATACATTTATCAAATTAACAAAAAGAAAGCATAACTGATCTCAACTTTCAGCTACACAAAAAAATGTCAACCTTAACGTGAATACAAAAAAATCTGACTATTGCTACCCAACTCTGAACCACTTTTGTTTTATTTTTCTAACACCTTCTTGTGAAGAGGAAATTGCGAGGCAATGTTAGTGGCAGCCATCAAAAAGAAGAAAACACAAACCAGTTCTGTACGTTTTGGCATCATGCTAAAGCCCAGAACAAGCAAGCAACAGTAACCCCCACTCTCCCTGGGGAAAGGAAAAAAAAAAAAAAAAAGAAAAAAAGTGCCATAAGGGAAAAAACTTTGATATTAGGAGCATGCGTTTGTGCAAATGACAAAAAAAAAAAGAAAACCTAAGAAAACTCAATAAAATGAAGCTACAAGCAAACAAGCAAATAGAAAAAAAAAATCCCAAACTCAACACACACTGCTTTTCTGGCCAGTCAAAAACTACTCACATGTTCAGTAGTATCATCATATTCCCACTGATTGACAGTAAAGAATGTTGGAAGGAAAAACACAAGAAATTAAGACATTTGTAGCCTGGTTGAGGTAAGGTTTTCTTCTTAATAGTAAAATAAATATGAATGATGTCTGGAAAAATCATGTACAATTTGAATTAATTGTGTAGAATCACGTAGAATTTGGTTAATGAAATCAGGCCAGGAATTTTTAATTCCACTTCCGCTTTCCCTAAAAACAGCCACTTCTCTTTCCTTGAAAGATGAAAGAAGTAATCAATCCTCTTGTACCATGTAGTAATTTTTTATAATAGATGGTATTAGTAAAAACTACCAAGGCAGAATTAAAGGCTACCTGGTTTATTTTACCACGTTACTAGGCTATATGCTTGAGTTTCCTAAATGAATTCAATGCCTTATTTAAATTAATAGCAGGATTTTTTAGTCTTGAAACCTAACCACACTGATCTTTCACCATCAAGGTCTTCATACCTGCACAAGCCCTGATCACATGTATCAAAGAAGTATGATAGGCAGGAAGGAGTGGCAGGAGGAGAAAGGAGGTGACTATCCAGAGTGAACCAATGGAAAACAAGCAGGTCAAAGCCAAACTTGGCAAAAAAAGAAATATGACTTTTGCCTTTGTGATATTTGGGCTCCGATATCTCATCTAGTCTCTCACTTCTGACCTTCTAGTGTTTAAAATTATTTTAAAATACTACCACACAGAAGTTGAAAGTGAAAATCTGTGCAAGGAAGAGGAGAACCAAAGTGCAGCAGCATCCTCTTTTCCATCTCCTCTCCCTCTTCCCTTTCCCTTCCCACGTCCCCACCTGTTTCCATCTTTCTCTCCACTGAATTTAAGCTGTAAGAACACCATGTTTTGCAAAATAGGTAAGTACAAAAGTATCTGCAGAACTGAAATTTAGAACTAAGACTGAAAGAAGAAACAAAAGAAGCCAGAAAACATTTATTTATTCACATAAAATGCTTAAGAGGCCAATTTAACTCTTTACTTTACGCTAGGTTGATAATTTCTTATCATTTCCAGCCATTCCAGTCATAAATCGAGAGCTAGCAATGAGAGGTGTGTACTTAATAATGGTTTCAATGTAGGATGATTCCTCCAGTACCAGGAGCTTTGGGTATCTTCAGTTTTACAGAGCACTAGTGCATCCCAACCAGCAAAATCCTATTTTTAGAAGCTTTTTAAACTTGATGTGATCAGGCTTTTGTTTTCATGCCTCATAATTTATAAAACAGATGGGAAATTTTGCAATATAAGTAAACCCATACCGATTTAAACTAAGCTCCTCATTTTATTGCACAGTTATTGATATGAATAATGACAAGTATAAATACCTCGGTGATTTCTAAAGTTGCACTAATAAATTCATTTCCTGTGACACGCATAGTGAGGTGGATACACGCTAATGACAGAAACACTGTAATAATGGGCTAACACAGGCTTCTAATGATTCTAGGTTCTCCATCGAAACAAAGAAATATGGGGTGGGTGGATCACACAGTGCAGTTTGCTACACTGACTGTGAGCCTGGCTCACATCTCCCTGATGCTTTAAAACTTCAGAGCATAGGTATAGGGTGGAGCCTCCAGGTTTAAGGGAGCCAGCAGAATGACACAGCTTAGCATTTACTTGCACACCTATACAGAAAAGGGTGCCTAGGTTTGGCCCAAGAAACTTTAAATGTAAATATTCTGGAAAAAAGTTGTTAAAATAGAGATAAAAAATGTTAGCTGGTAGGCTGAAATATAGAAAGAAGAAAAAAGGCAGTTCTGGATAGCTCTCTGGTACACGAAATCTTTCCACTGTGACCTAGAAAAGAACACAAAATGCCCCAGTTACCTGTGCATCAGCCAGCATGATGTCCTTCAGCATGGGCTGACCCTTTGGCTCTCCATTTTCCATCCTCACGTAGTGGACCTGGTATCCTCGGATCTGACCATGCTGCTTATTGGGTACAGGTGAGCGCCATGACACTTTAACAGCGGTAGAGTTGACAGCCTCTACCTCGACTTTGCGAGGAGGACCACTAGGAACTGGAACAACATCATTGGACAGAAGAGAATTACAGGCACCTGTCCCACCCATGTCTTTTGCTTTTTTTTTTAAAAGGGCAGACTCACTATGTTTTCTTTGAAGAATACAAATTGTTCAACAAATGAAAATGCTCAACCAATCTGCTCTACCTTTCAGTGAAAAGATCAAAAAACATGACTGATGCAAAAAATGGAAGAAAAAAGAGTATTAGAGAAATAGAAAAACATGTAAAAATGTACAAAAGCCAAGGAAGATGCTTTGAGTTTCAAAGCATTATAGTACAAAGAGATATTTTAATCACTGAAATACTACTACTACTACTACTAAAAACACAAAAGATTTCAAAAAAATTTTTTCTTATTTTTGTTTGCTAAGTTCTTTGTCTCTTTTTTTTTCAGTAGTATAAAAAGGAGGCTGATATAGGGCTATCTTCTGTCACTGTCAAGCATGGAAGAAAAGAAAATGTGTGGAGCATCAGTTTTCCAAGATCAAAAACAAAACTCAAAAAATAAAACCCAACCCAAAAAAACCCAAATCAAAAAGCACAACATGGAACAAGAAAGCAGTTAAAAAAAAAAACAAAACAAAAACAAAAGAAAAAACCTGAAAAAAAGTTCATAGACGTAAGTGTTTAAAAATAACAATGACTGCAAAATCAAGGAAAAGGCAGAAAGATTTTTCCCCTGAGAGTTATTTTTATGTTAAAGGAGGAGCAAGAAGGATATGTATGGGCTCAAAGGGGCAGCAGATTCATGTCACTCAAAAAAAGGTACTTTCTGTTAAAAAAACCAAAACCACCAAATATAAAAATGGTGTAGAAAGGATAAGTCTTTGATTAAAAAACTCAAAGGGTGATAGTATCTGCGATTTGGGAAAAAGAGGAGCAGAAAAAAATACTCTTAGGCTATACAAAAGACAGCAGATCGACAGAGAGTCATAGAGGCGCAAACTGATGTAGTGGAGGCAACATACCATCTTCATCTGTCCGAATCAATACTGCTAAGCTCTCTGGGCCAGGTCCAACATCAGTGTGGGCAGTCACAGAGATCCGGTACTCAGTCCATTTTTCCAGCTGTTCCAAAAGGTATTGGGTACTGTCCGAGGAAATTCCCAAAATTTCATGGGGCTTGACATCTTCTCCATCAATCCCAATGTACTTGATGGAGTATTCAGTGATAATGCCATTCTGTTCTTCCACCGGTGGAGGTTTCCAACTTACCAAAATGCTAGTGGAGCTGGGGCTTGTGCAACTAATGTCTTGAGGAGGAGCTGATGGCTCTAATTTCAGTAGTGGGTTAAAGGAGGATTTGAGTGAAAGGATAGGAGTGATTGAAAAAAATGAACAAAAGAAAAAATAAAAATAAATAAAAGACAACCAAATGAAAGTAAAAAATAAATAAAAAAAAGTCGAAACTTAAAAAAGCAAAGCGTCAGATAATCATATGTACCTTGGCTTATTAACATGAGGAAACTGAAAATGAATAGACCAACTAAATGGTGAAAAAGGATGTAGGGGAAATACATGAAAATGAAACCTCAAAATAATATTACCTACCTGTAATTAAAATTCTTCTTGAAACAAAACAAAAACGTGACACTTCTATGACTACTGATCTATCTTTATAATCATTACAATTAGTGCAAGCTATAATATTTTAAATGACGTGACATGTATTTACTTACAAATTTGGGCATATCCCCTTCAAGTGTTTTTACTTTCAAGGGTTTACTTGGTTTACTTTCAAGGGTTTACTTTCTTTGAGAAAAATTCTCTTTTTACAGAACTCCTAAAAACTTGCAATAATTGCTAGAAATTGCTCCATAAATTGCCATTTTTGTAGCCTCCCCACTCTCATAAACAGATTATTATTTTTTCAGCTTTTTTTAATAACTGAGTCTGCCTGGCACAAGTCAACCACAAATTACGTTTAAATGGAAAGCATTTACTGAAACATTTATTGTAGCCAACATACTAGGAGCATGCAGTCAATAGAAGACGAAGAAAGTCTTAGTCAAGATGTACCTACCAGGAAAAAGTGACAGGCTTGTTGATTCTGACTGTAACTTGTACTTACCCTAGATCAGCTGTCAGTTTTATTTTTTTAACTCCTCTTGGAGACACCTTTGCTAGCAAAGAATTAAATCCTACCAGTAATGTAGGTAACTTCTATAGGAAAAAAAAAAAAATCTGCCCCCAAACAATGTGTCAAGAAAGCAGGTATTCATTTCACAAAGAGAGTTCACAGGCTCAGCACATCAGAACGGTGAGAGACTCTGACTGTTTCGTCTCTTGTCACCAACACCAATCTTCCAGAGCAAAACGGCTCACCTTTACTGATTTGTACTCGAAGGAGTCTGTTAGCGTATGTATCTTTTCCGGGCTCCAGAGCATTTAAGCATGTATGTCATTCCATTGCTTTCAGTGAGACAATTCAAGTACTGAAAGTCAGGTAGGAATTTATGTGCTTAAATGCACTTTGACTTAGCAAAGTGTGTGCTTACTAACTGAGATCATTCAGAGCACCAAAAAAGGAGCCACAGTTCAAATTCACTGGCAGAAGTAGTGCACGTGGACTCTTTCCTATTTCTGCCTTCTCTCTTGCAAGGAAAACATAAATTTTGGGTGCAAGATCTTTATGGCACTGCTTTTTTTTTTTTCCTTCCCATTTCTTAAGGGAAAAAGGAAACAAATGGATTTCCGGTACTTATACTAGGTACATCAAACAAAATTAAAGCAACAGAGAAGGACTAGGACCCTGCTGTGATCTACTGCGTTTACACATGTATCTTTTGGTTCCCTACAGCTCTTCTTCAGGGATCAATGGCTTTTTACTCAGTATGGTACACTGCTCTTCTGAAGGGTAAACAGGAGGGAATGTACCAGCATTTCAACTAACTAAAGGAGGTGGAAAGGGGGACAGATGAGAATTATCACATTTGTTTTTTGGTTTTTTTAGGCTAATTCAGTAATCAAGTACTCAAAACATGTTGGTCCCCTTCTACCATGGACTTGTGCAGGAAGTAAAATACAAATAAAATGTCCCTTAAGGTTCTTACATGTAAAGAAATAAATCCCTATAGCACCTTTCTCTGAAACCAAGACGAAAGACAATAGTGTATTCTGGTGAATATTGCTAATAAACTCTAGAAGTTTATTAATTTTTAATCCATTATACTCTGAAAATGCAAAATATTGTATTTATGTAACTAAGGATAATCTATAGGCTACTTGTGTAACCAATTTTATTAATGCATATACTTTTTTCTTAAAACACACAATTTTTGCAAAAAAGATTTTGCAATCTTTTCAACAAATAACCAGGGTCTGCCCACTGAAATCAACTGGATTTTCCTACTATCTGAAGACATAAGGCTAAAAAAAGCATAACACATTCTTATATTCAAGAAGGGAAAAATGGCAATGTGCTTATATATGGAACATGCAACCTTGGCCCCTAGAGGTTTATTTTGTATGCATAGTCTAAGCAATCTTCACCCAATATAAGAGAATGAGCATTCTAAAGAGCTGAAATGGCACCCAGAATAAATAAATACCTTTTTCTTCACCAAATTATTGATTCTGGATTACTAAAATTAAAAGGTGCCTTGCCACTATCTCTAAAACTAGCCCTATGTTATATAATCGTCTTTTATGCTTATTCCAAATGCCTTAGAAATACTTCAGAAGCACATTTAGCTTTGGTTAAAGGTCTGCAGCACTGTAATTCTAGTCACACTAATTACTATTAATATATAACACTAACAAAGAATGATGGTGTAATCATATCTGTCATGACTGCAAATTAAAAAGCCTCATGTCAATTGAGAATCTGAATTTTCTGTTTTGAATAATATTACTTTATGAAAAGGCCATTTAATTTAAAACAAATACAAGTAGAATTGCACTAAATTTTAAAATTACACAGTGTAATGCAAACTGTCAGGAAAGCATAACTTATCAGGCAAGAGTAGCACTTCTGGACATCATCCTTGAATATCTGATTGTTTAATGAAGTCTTAATTTAAATATTTTAAAATGTATATATAAATCCCTGACAAATTTTTGCATCTCGTTTGCAGACAAATGTCTTGAGTTTCATGACTTTGTTTCCATAAGCATCCAGTGAGAAACAATTTTTCTACTGGTGTAAAAAATCACTGAACATCATAAAAAGCCTAGATTAAAAAAATCTAACAAAATCAGAATGATCAGCTACTATAGAAGAACAGTTATGAGGAAATTTTTGGTACAGTCTAAAATATCCAACCTGACTCACCCTACAATTTTTTTGTACTTCAGGAAGATGCTACAGGAACAACCTAGTATTACAGGAAATTTGCAGACCGGGCCGGTGGAATTTTACAGGTGGAGGACTGTTATTAATGTACATCTATTGCATGATAAAACATTTTATCCTATTATAACATAAAATAAAATGTTATTATGACAGCATAATATTGTCTCTTTATACACTGGTTTACACGATTGTTTTCTGAAACTACGTAAGAGCCACTCATATATTAAGTTGATCACAATACAGCTACAAAAATACATATTTTAAGCATTGTTGTGCTGTATTAAGCACCACGAATGCTGTATTTTTATCATTTTGCCTTTTTCTCTGTTGTTGCATCTCTGGGCTACTGAGATTAACCTCTTCAAGAAATACAGGACAAGGGAATAAAGTTAGCAAGGAAAGACACCTACTTGACTGCATGGTTCTTGCTGAGATTTCTGCTGTTGAAGCACCCAGGCCTTGCGGAGAACGTGCAGCTAGACGGAATAAGTACAAGCTGTTTGGCCTTAAGCCTTGCAGGCGATAAGATGTAGTAGGTTCAGTGGAAACCCGTTGCTAAAGGTAGGTAATAAGAGGATGTCTTGATTAATATTCAGAGACTCTGAATTCCATATGTTTCCTATAGAAGAAATGCTTTTATATTCTTATACCCCATTGAGAAAAAATTAAATTCAAGAAAATAAATCAGAACAAAACGAAACTAAACCAAACCAAAAATGAATACATTCCTTTTGACAAACACACATTAAGGAAAAATATTTTTTAAAGTCGACAGCTTAATGGGTGAAACTAGGAGCCAGAAATATTGTTTGACTGTTTGAGGAAGTAATAGTTGTGTACAAAGTATAAAAGGCTTTTCAGACAATAACACATGAACAAAGCCTTACCTATAGTCACCTCTTACGACAGTGAACTACAGGGTTTTATAATGTGAGTAATCTTGGGTTTAACCTTGTAGTTAAATTTGTGTTCAAATTATTAAGAAGCAAATTCTTCCAAAGGGTAACTTATTAAGCAGGCGCCTGCATCCTATTTGGAGGTGAAATACAGATCACTTCCACTTTTGTGGAAGCCCCCTTCCACAAAATAAGCTTATGCATTCACAGTATATGTGTGAAGCCACCATAAACGTAAGCTCAGCTGAAGCGCCAGCAATGAGTTGATGATGCAGGAGAAATCAATGAGGCTGACGCTTTCCTGCTGCCTTCTGAGACTGCTGGCTTCTTTCTTTTGTCTGGGACACCTGGCAATATCACACGGTTTCCATATCAGAAGAACAGTTTATTCTAAAGTCTACAGTACTAACACCACAGAGGCCCTTAAACTGAGATTTCCTTAGGAAATAATGGCACAGAAAAAGTCCATAGCAGGTTTTTATCTTTAGAAGAAAACCATATTTTCTTCTCAAATATTATTGAAAGATTAGAGAAGCTTGAGAACTCTCTCACATGGTGGCAAAGAGAAACAAAAATTCTCCAAGGCTGAAAATAGGCTTCAAAGTCCAAGTATAAGTGCAAAAAATCTTAATGAGTCCATAACGCCCCAAAACACTTCTGCTTCCAAGACTTTGTAAAGAAACAGGCTTGGAGAGACATGATCAATGTCTGAAACTGAATGCGACTTCTGCAGATGATTTGTTGCAAACAACAGCAAAGTTTCACTGGCTGGTAACCATCAACAGCATGTTCTGCTGTTTACACACTCTCAGTCTCTGGTTAGGCTGACTGCTGGGTTTAACAAACTGTTAAACATCAAGGCATTTGTACTACAGAAAGTTACTAATCCATCAATTCTAAACCATTGCAGCATTTTATGTCTGACTCATTAAAGAGTACTTAAAAGATGTATAGTCTTTTCACTTACCTCCTCCCCGTGCTCCCCATCTTTGTAAACCAGTTCATAGCTGGAAATGGTATCAGAGCGTGGAGGTGTCCAAGAAAGTAATATGCTTGTTTCAGACTCAGGTTCCGCTTTGAAGTTCAGTGGCTGACCAGGCACTAAAGAAAAAGTTGAGCAGTGTTGCCAATTGTTTATTTGGCTAGCTCAACACTTATCTTTCAAACCTTTTAAACTATTATCTGAATATTTCACACAATATTACTTTTATTGAACTTACTAAACTTAAACAAATTGATTAACTGTACTATGAAATAAATTAATCTGAGCTCAGAAAAAGAATAATGATATATTTAATTCACACGTTACAAATTATCAAGGATTTCAAACAAATGCTTCGCAGTGTAAATAATGCACACAGAACTGAAATGCAATTGAACAGAATCCTGGTGATGAATACCAGCAATCTAATAACCTATGTGTGAAATGACAGATATATACATGTATATATTTGTGTATATAGGGAAATGCTAGTATTACATAAGATTGGCTGGAATAGTCAAGAAAGTGTTAAAACGATTACATGCATTTCCAAATCTGAAAATGGTTTGCTCAGTTCATAAATAAGATACTGAACACATCCTGCTCTTTAAGAAGAAACATAATTTTGAATGCTTTCATAACTTGTGGAAGTTATAACCTACTGAAGAGATCTTCAGTAACGTTCTCATTAAGTGACATATTTCTACCTTTTTAATGACTGGTATTTTTACCAATATAGCTGAATTTCTAGTAACAACACTATCTAATTGCAAGAACTAAAAATGCAACTTTAATTCCAGTAGTCAAGAACATTCTCTGTTGTTATGCCTTGTGTAACGGTCACAGAAATTATCTGGACTAAATGTTACCTTCATTTACTTCTGCAAATCTACAGCAAATAATAAGGTTGACTAGGAAAAGACAGCAAAATATAACCCTGTCATTGGAATGTATACAATCATTTTGGCACCGAAGTTCTAAAACATTACTTTCAGCTAATAGTGCTGTTGATAAGGCATGAAACAGTCTTCCACAGCATTTCTAGCTTTTCAAGAATAAAATGTGGCATGCTTTTATTTTTTAAGAAAAAAATATGAGATGCACTTAACATATACTGAGAACAGGTGTGACAAGTAGGATGTGACAATAATGATCGCTTCACAATTATTTTTTGGGGTAGAATTTTATTACAGCATTACAAGTACCTTTCTTTTGTACAGTAAAAGACTTAAAACCACCATGGACCAAACAGTAAAAATAATTTGTGATGGTTAGTCTTAGCTTCCCCAGATTCTACAGAATGTCACTCTGGGGATAACACTGCCCTCATGTACGCTGGTGCAGGTTTGGTATCTAACCTTTCAACAGACAGATAACCTGTCAACATGAGGTGCATATTCAAGCTCCTGTGTGAAGGTTGTAAGTTCCTACCATTCACTTATTTTTTGTCCAGGAATAGGACAAAATAGAAAAGGAAAGGTGTAGAAAGATGTTGCCTATTTCTGAGGGAATGAGTGAGGGTGAACAGGAGACCAAGTCTCTTTACGGGATGAAAAAAAGGATCGGAGTAATTAGCTATTTTTCTAAAAGTGTCCGGTGTAAAAAGAGGCCACTTCCTGGGTACTGCAAAGTGCAAAAGGGAAAAGATCACAAAGTACAGTGAGCAATTACAGGAAATATCAACAAAGTATTTTTGACAGAAATACTTCTAATTTTATCCTTTTAAAATTGAATGGATTTGAAATTAAAAGGGAGAGAGTGGCATAACTGGATAATTCCTAACTTTGAAACAGATTCTGAAATACCACTAGATCAAACTTTAACTTGGCAAATCTATAGCATAGTTGTAAAAATGCATTTACTAGATGAACATTACAACTTTTTAGGTTAGCTGCTTCAAAACACTCCTGAGTAACAACCAGACAACAGCTGCAGATTTGCCTCCTGTTGAACACAGCTTAAAGTAGATGTGGAGCCCCACTGCAGGTTTGCCAAAACTTAATAAAAAAATTTGGAGTCTAGGCAGCTATTTGGAAGTGTTTATTTTGGCACAGGTTGTTCCAAATATATCTCATGAAACTCAGGTGGGTACCCGGCTGTAGGCATTTTGTTTGCTTCATCTGACAAAAAGATAAAAACTGGTAAAACTGACCTGTGGAAAAAAATATTTGCTTCAATGTGTATCAAAGGATAGGGATAAAGTTATTTTGGCAAAGTAACTGAGCAGCACGGTTGGAGTTACAAAATCACCTTTCCCTGGTCATGGAAGATCGAACAGCAGCTTATGTTATCTGTGCCATGTTATCCATCTTGTGTTTGACATCTCTATCAGCGACCTGGAGGAGGGGATGGAGGGCAGATGTTCCAGGTTTGCAGACAACATCAAGCTGGGGAGGACCAGTCAACACACTCGAGGACCAGGCTGCTGTTAAGAGGGAGCTGCAGAGGGGGGAGGAACAGGCCAATGGTTCCCCATGAAGATCAGCAAGCCCTGTCCTGGGAAGGCAGAGCCCTGCAGGGATGCAGGTTGGGGCTGATGGGGCCAGGGAACAGCTGTGGGGGATGGCCCTGTGCCCTGGCGGGCAGCAGCTGAGCCGGGGCCACCCGTGTGCCTAGGTAGCAACAAGGGTCATCGATGCCTGGGGTGATGTGAGCAGGAGATGACCCCAAGAGCCAGGGGAGGGCAGGGACAGTCCCCTCTGCTCAGTGCCCATCAGACCAAACCTGGGTACTGCATCTGGTTTTGGGCCTTAGCAAGATGGCTCTGGGCTGGGGCCCTTGCCCTGCAAGGAGATGCTGCAGGACTGGGGCTGGTTCAGCTAGGAGAAGGGACAGCTTCAGGGGCACCCAACAGCATCCCCAGCACCGATGGGAAGGATGGAGGAGACACAGCTGGAGGAGGACAGACCAGCGTTGGAGCCAGGGCCCATGGAGGTTGGGCCATATCCTGCCTTGAGGGGTTTTACGCCTCAATTGGGTGAAGCCCTGAGCAGCCCGGTCTGACCCCACAACTGAGCTTGCTGTGGGCAGGTGCTGGGGCTGGAGACCTCCCCAGATCACCCTGCCAGCCTGAATCGCCCTGTGATGCTATTATCTGTGCTTAATGTATGGATACATGAATTGTAGAACACAGTCAGGCAGTAACAGTAAATGACCAGTCAAGTGACCCATATAAAGGCTGGTACCATCCGTTATGATAAATATGGCAGCAGATGGCGAACAAAGGATATTTCCTGTCTCTCTGCATGTTTTAAGACCCTCATCCTCCAAGTATTTCTTTAAAAAAAAAACCTTTATGGTTTTAGGTCTGCAATTCTCTATCATTTTATAAGACAAGTTGATGGTTAATTGGACTTTCCCAAATGCTGTTTGTCAAAATAATATCTTGCTGCAAAATCTAGTCTCCCCTCACACTTTTCAACCACAGTTAGGCAACTCTGAAGCTGAAAACACTGACAGAAGAAAGAGGTGACAGGGAAATCTGCATCGCTCCAAACAGATAGAGAAGATGGAGAAGAAAGAAAACAAAACCAAAATAACAGAAACTAAAGAAAGTGTATTGCTGATAACTCTGGCAGGGAACCCAAGGCTTAAGCCAAAGAAAAAGGACCAGATAAGAAAGTGGAACAATAACTTTTAAACTATTTAGGATTTATGCCTAGAACACACAACATCTGTTAAAAAAAACCTTCAGTGGCACATGGGAACTAAGCCAAGCTGGAGGAACTGACAGAAGGTACTGGTCTCTTTCAGAGATGGAAAAACCTAGGGAAACTGGAAAAATCTATGTAAGTGGACTTTACACTCTTGCTGAAGTGTTTTTAATTACACAGATCAAATCTAACTTTCTATATTAGTGCTGTACATGGTCAGCTGACTGAATGGGATCTTTTTGCATGAGCATTGTCCCAGTACTGTCTTTTCTGCTTTGAGGTCAATGTGCTCTACAAACGTACATTAAAACCCAGAACTTCCCCATGCACCGAGTATAACTCTTCTTATTTCTTGCTTGTAAACATGGCACAATTTAGGTAGTACACACAATGAAACACTACAAAGCAGTGAGGAAAGAAAGAACAAAGTCCAGAATTACTGTTTTCAAAAATTCATACCAAGTTCTACGCCTTTGCTTGCCTATTCCTCCACGTTTATTGCTGGATAACCAGAAACAAACACAGATTGCTGGACCTTGTCCTGTGTATATGGTTCTATGTCCATTCCTGAATCGAGTGACAAAACAGAATCATAAAATGGGATCTTAAATCAGAAGGGCACACAGCTCCTCAGCTGGCTGAGGTAACCAGAAGAATACTCCAGAGCTGTGCTGGGTTTGCAAGTGATGTTGGAAAGACAAGACAGCCTCCAGGCTAGAAAGGGGCCCATGACATTGCTAGGGTGAAATCCATACATAGAACAAAACTCAATCAATTCAATTAGGAATCAGTTTTGCAAAGGACAATAGATCTATCAAGAGAATTTACAACCAGTTGGGAACGGAAAGGGACCAAGAGTTCACGTTTCTGCTTGCTCTGGAAGAAGCATGAAACTCTACAGAGAAGCTCTTACAATTGAAGAGTTAATGTACTCCACAGTTTTTGTTTTGTAAAACAGTACTTGTACTTTTTGAAATACCTAATTCTCAAAGAACATAATTACAAAATAAAACGGGTAATGTACTAACTATATGTGCATCCTGCTCTCTCTGTCTTTCTGCTACAACAGAAAAAACCTCTTCAAATGACTCTGAAGACAGCTGAGGCTTGCAGTTCTGCAGTATCAAACACAGAACCACAGTACTCAAAATAATTAACTACAATACTTTTTAAATGTCCAAAAAGCATAGCACATTTTCTGAAAAATAACCAGAAATCCATAAATCACTTTGCTAAAATAGTATGTGTAACTGGCATTGAGGGAGCCCACAGAATAAAACAAACATGTTGGTCAGTCTTAAAGACAGTCTGTATAGTCTTGTCTGAATGACTAGAGAACACACTGAAGAGATGAATTATTCTTCAGAGTAATTCTGTCTACACTCTATATCTACAGTGTAGCAGTAGAGTTGTCTTAAAATTATTTCAAGCTGAATTCTGCAATACTTAGGTTCAGTGACAAAAGTAGTATGTGCACATTTCCAGCGCTCATCCGCATATTTGCAAAAATCAGAATTCTGGACTAGAAAAAAATCAGATTATAAAAAAAAAAAAAATCCCATATCCATACCCTGTCTGTGTTCTAACTAGAAGAAAGAAAGGGAGATTAAAAGCTAGAAAAATCACACTGTGAGGGTAAGATCCTCAATATTGGTCTCATCATGTTAGCATTTAAATGAAGTAAACATAGAGACTGGGGCACTTAACAGAAGTTAGCTATGCTTTGAGAGCAGAAGGGTTATTCAAAGTATTCTTTCCTACCTGAACAGAAATGTTCCTTAAAGGGAATTTTGTCATTTAAAAGCCATCCTGCACCCCACCTCAGCTCTAAATTATTCTCCTTCCATCTGCTTCCTTCACTCACGGTTGAGTTTCCAGCTGCATGCTCTCAACTCTTCCCTTGTGGAAGTCCATTTCCATGAAATGCTTCACTAGGAGACTAGTACTGTGGAGTTTCAGAGACATGGGTTTCCCTGTTTCATGTGTTCATGAAAAAATTTGAAATGTCTGGCAAAGTAGCTAGCTTGCTACAACACAGAACTGTATTCCCTTGCTACAGACTCCCTTCCTCTGAATTTCTAATCTTCTTTTACAATAAGAACTCCAGAACCATTAACTCATTTCCCTTAAGCTAAGGCTCTGTTTATGTGCCCTGCAAGTCAGATACTTGACCTTCTCATTACTGTCCTTTTCCATATGTTCAAAAGATTAGCCTTTTATAACTGTAATAATCCTTAGTCTTCAAACCACTGCCAGTCCTTGGTTTAAAATTAACAATAAATTTTATATTGTAAGTTCTTGTTTAAAGAAGCATATGTTTACAGGTACACATCCATTTCCAAGAGTATTTTCTCCCTCCCTCTTTCTCCAATAATCCACTACCCAATAGACCTTGCGTATCTCTCACTCTCCCCTCTTCCTACCTAAGCTCAGAATAAAAACAGGATTCTCTGAATTCCTTCAGTAGCTAATCCTGTCTTTGCACATTAAAAACTAAACTAAACCAAACCAAACCAAACCAAACCAAACCAAACTCAACCCCAAACCCAGACATTCAGTTTGAAGTTCAAGAATTTTCCTGGTATACATAGGTTAAAGTGTGTTGCTCAGAGAGTATGTTTACTTCTGAAGAGTTTAAGCAAAGAAAGGAAATATGAGAAGATACGTAAGAAGTATGTCCTGGGTAGCTAAATGGAGACAAACCAACAGAGCTTTTGTTTTCTAGTGAAGTAAAGAAAAAGGACAAGAAGTATCACACTAAAGCTTATACCGTTACTTCTTTATTCTAAAATTTGGTGTTACTAAGTCAAGTCACCTAAATAATATACTGGTCCTGACTCCATCCTCAGCAGAATCAAATCCTTTGACCCAAAATGCAGAATAAGGACATTCTGAGGTGTAGCTTTTGGAATTGATCTTTCCTTATTCAAAAGGCTTAGCTGTTTTCTGATTACTTAATTTCTTAAAATGGTGTCTTTTTACAGTAAAGAAAACACTACTGAAAAGAACTGGGCAATAGGACATGGCTTTTCCTTAAAATGCTTAAGCAGAATACTGAAACACAAAACTGAACATAAAACTTCAATTATTTTTTTTAATGTTTGGTTGTCTGAAAAATGCTTCCTTCTCTTCCCCTCAAACTACATGTTCCTAGTTAATAATTTAATTAGAAACCTAATTTTCACTATCAGCAGAGTTTTGGCTGATCTGCAAAGTGAGAAGCCACTCATACAGCTATTTCAAAAGAACAATTCTACTGTACTAAAAAAGCAAAGATTCTCATAAACAGGCTTTTTTAAAACAAATTATTCATTTTTTATAATCTCTCTCCAAAGATCAGAACACACATAAGGGAGAAAGCTTTGAAGGAAACCAAGCTAACAGAGTCTGTAAGTCACAGCTGTCAATCAGATTTTGTTTTATATATACTCTAATATCCCTAAAGTAAGCATAAGGGTTAAGCTACACACTTACAATGACAGGCTTGATTGTTTCAAAAAAGGAAAAAAAACCCCAATCAAAACATAATTTGTTTTTTTTTTTACTAATTTACCGTTCCTATTTTTACTCTTTTACATATGTTTCCATTAAATCAATTTCCGCTGTTTTGAAATGGCACTTTATAATTCACTATATTTATTTGGATGAGTTTCAGCTTGATAGAGACTTAAACCAAAACCATCACATTCAGATTTAGATTACAGCAAATCTAGAAGAGAAGGGCAAGGAGAGCATTTTATTCTGCAGTGTTCACTGAAGAGAAACTGCTGGATAGTAAGATGGGAGAATCTTATTTTTTAAACATACCCTGAACTGGAGAACTGCACTAGACTGTCTTAGCTATTTTTCTCTTTTATGACTTAAAATGTTCATATTTTAAGCATCAGTACTTAAAAATGCCTCCTGTATGCCACATTTTTGGTTTTCCTTTGATTTTTAACATAGTCACAAATAAACAACGTTAAGTCAACTCTGTTACGAAGTTGAAAACATGTATTGAGAATCCCTCCTGCACTGTTAACGTTGTCATAATTTCTTCAGATTGCAAGAGTAATCTGAAACAGACGGGAACATTTAATGGCCAAGCTCAATAACGTTTTTAATAAACAGAGCTTTTCTGAAGTGACCTCAGCAAGTAATGTAACATGGGCCTGTCCAGCTGAGCTTCAGTGCTCATTATTTCGATTGCTTCATCCTTCTCTGGGGAAGCCACTGACAAACTCTTGCCAATCTAAAAGGTTTACGGTTGTAAGTGAAAACACAGATGAGGAACTCACTGAATCTTCTTCTTTAAAAGCTTTTTGTACGTGGACTCAAAAAGAAGTCAGATGTCAATATAAAAACTAGTCCCTGAAAAAGGTTACAATTGCCAAAATTAAACTATGGTGTACATATTTACATTTGCATGTGCACAAAGACACATTTTAATGTACCAACAGAACGTCTAAAAAAGTTAATTTAGTAACTTCTCAGCTGAGATACTGCAAAAGGTAACACCTAGACCTTTGTGTAACACAACACTTAGAAAGGTTCCAGGACAATACCTCAATTTCTGTTCATTATTAAATGCATATTGATAAAACGCAGAAGTAAAAAGTGGATGAAACATAACTGCCTTCAGTTACACTTTAGAGATACGTTTTTTAAGAATTTGAGGGATGCTAAATTCTTCAACAGGAAACTTTCCAGTACTAAAAAATTCAAGTAGTAATATATAATATTTCTAAGCAATCACTGACCTACAGTAATACTTCATACAGCTTTCTCTAAACCGCTACACAAAGGGAGCTTTTATTTCTTATTGCTACAATAAAACACTTTCTGCAGTGTAGCTCCACCAGAGTTTCTTGCTTTTGATTTCATAAAAATTCTCTGTAATGTTTTTCACTATGCCTGCTTGTCGTTTGCTAATAAAACTAATTCATGGACCTAAAACTCCTGTACAGAAACAAAACAACCTAACTGCAAACATAAAACAAGAAAACCGTGACCTTGTGGTATGCACTTTGTAGGGGCAGGTTGGGTTTGATTTATAAATCTAAAGTATACAGAACTGCTTGCTTGAACCTACACAAAGGTTTGTTGTTTTTTTAATGCTTTCATGTTTTATGTGTTTTCAGAACCGTACCAACTATGTGAATACACATGCAGTACACATACATTTTGAATTTCCAAAAGCAAGATTCACTAGACTGATGTAGCATAAGGGAATCACACGCTACCTAAACAAAACCCACCAACACAGGTAACTCCTCAAAGAAAGCTGTGAAGAACTACTTGACAAACACTTTTGGTGCACAGAGCACTGCCAAATAGAAGCCATAACATTTGGCCACCTCCAGGATGAAGGTCTCCCTCAAACTTCAGCTAAACTTGAGTTAAACTTCCTGAGATTGATGAAAAAAGAAATGAAAGTGCATTCCACTCTTCAATGATAACTTGCACTGTGGAATTGAGAAAATGTTATCTGCAAAAACTGACTGAATAAACTGGCTATCCTTGAGAGGAATTTTTCTTTCAACATTTTAAACTCAAATTCTCTGCAAAATTTCTGCATGTATTTAATTTTTTTGCACAAATTCTGTTCATTGCTAGCTTACCTCCTGTTTGAGTGATGACTTGAATGTCACTAGAAAGTGGTCCATCCCCAACAGAAGTAAAAGCAAGAACCTTCACAGAGTATGTTTTCTGGGGTATCAGATTCCCAATAGTGGTAATATGGCTGTCAGCCACATTGTGCTTCATCCAACTGTTGACATGTTGAGTGGGGTCCATGGTGTAATAAACTCTGTAACCTTGTATTTGTCCATTAGGTTCCTCAGGTTCTTCCCACTGTACCAAAATGGTGGTAGAGCTCAACATACGGGCCTGCACATTGCGTGGTGCACTTGAAGGTGCTTGCTCTGAAGTCCTTGTTGACACAGGCTCACTGGGTGGTCCTCGCCCAATGTTATTTACAGCAACTACCCGAAATTCATACTCTGAATATGGGCTTAGACCAGCCACGCTATAGCGTGTTGTGGCCACCCCATCAATTTCTTTATATGGCTCCTCAGAGTTTTTGGGTTTGTGTTGGATTATGTAGTAAGAAACCGGCTCAGGGTTCCCAGAATCCCAAGTCAATGTTATGCTTGTCGCTGTGCTTTCTGTCACCACAGGTGTTCCAGGAGGTTTGGGTAAGGCTAAAGATAAATGCCAAAAAATACAGTTAGTGCTATGTAACAGTAGACATTAATTACTACAATAAGCAGCTTAAAAAACAAAACAAAACAACAACAACAAAAACAAACCAGGAAGATTGGAATGGAAAGAAGGTGTGATTTGTTCAGAGCGAGCTTTTGGCAATTACGATTTACTCCATAAACCTATCAGAAAATCTTCACATTTTGTAGGCAAGGTTTATTTGATCTAAAATAATGATACTGACTTTTGTAATAGATCCCGTAAACTTATGCAGAAGAGGAATCTTATAGACAGACAGTGCACCATTACTGTTCAATTTTCAGATATTTTTGGAACCTCTAGTTTCCAATTACTCAGTGAACATGATACTTGGACACCCAGCAATTCTAAAAATCAAATGACTGGTTGTTAAAGGCTCCTGCTCTTGACAAGTATATGCAAGATTACAAGATCCTTTATTTACTTGAAATGAAGGCTGGGAGCTAGACACAGGAGAACAATGGAACATTATGATTAACTTATTTATTAGTATTATTGCTATCTGAATCTGTATTTTGTCTCATGCCAGTGGTTGGCTGGAATATTTACCCTCTTGATTTAAGAGGGTAAGAGACATTTAGTCTCTTTCAGTGCAATATATTTGCTCAGATTAT